AAAAAAAAATGCTCAGTCCCAGAGACCGGACCCAGTAGACTTTATGTTTTTGGGGTCGCTGAATCCGAATCCGTCGTCGGTTTTTCGCCATCAGATCGATTTAAGGTCATTTGAAGGTCATTCAAAGGTCAAATCATGTAAAATAGGTTTTAAAATCTGAAACTATTCCTACATAGGTTTTTGAGGATGCTGAATTCAAATCTGAAGTCAGGTGACCTCTACGACCTTACCTTCAAGGTCATTTGAAGGTCAAACTTAGAAAATGCGATATAAAAATCCGAAAAATATATTTTTTTATGTTTTGAGAGTCGCTGAATTCAAATTCAAGATTTTAGATTTGAATTCAGCATCCTCAAAAACCTATATAGGAGTTTTTTTCCAATTTTTTAACCTCTTTTTTATGATTTGACCTTCAAATGACCTCTAAATGACCTTTCGATGTCAACATTGAGTCAAAATGACCTTGAATTTGAATTCAGCGACTCTCAAAACATAAAAAAATATATTTTTCGGATTTTTATATCGCATTTTCTAAGTTTGACCTTCAAATGACCTTGAAGGTAAGGTCGTAGAGGTCACCTGACTTCAGATTTGAATTCAGCATCCTCAAAAACCTATGTAGGAATAGTTTCAGATTTTAAAACCTATTTTACATGATTTGACCTTTGAATGACCTTCAAATGACCTTAAATCGATCTGATGGCGAAAAACCGACGACGGATTCGGATTCAGCGACCCCAAAAACATAAAGTCTACTGGGTCCGGTCTCTGGGACTGAGCATTTTTTTTTTGTGTGCCTGTGTAATGGAACATAATTAATTATTGTTGACTTTAAATTGTTCAATCAAGTCAAGTAAAAGGACTAGGATCAAAACTTGATTGTCCACAGTAATCTGGTCGACAATCGCTTCATTTAAAATTCTGCAGACCATTCTTTGATTAAACTCGGTTCCTTCTGCATTACCTATACTATCCTTTTGCTTCTCACCAGTCTGTAAAATTACACAAATTAATGAATTACTTATTCTACATATGAATGAATGTAAATAGCTATACTCCATAAGAACTTACAAATTTAGCAGTCGATATTCCTTGGGCCATTATTGTATCACCTGTCTGTAAAGTTGGGCAAATTAATCAGAGACTAACATTTATGTATGAATGTGAATATCTAAACTTCATGAACACTTACAATTTTAGCAGTCGGCATTCCTTTGGCCATTGGTTCATCGCCTGTCTGTAAAATTAGGCACATTAATTAGAGATTAACATTTATGTATGAATGTAAATAACTTAACTGCATAAAAAGTTACCTTTTTGTTATTTTTCATGTAAGCTATCACTAATGGTTCATCATCATCCAGAAATTCGATGTCGGGTTCTCCATGCTCAGAATCTTTTCTTGGAGTCTCTCGGAAAAGCTGAGTAGCATCAGGAAAATCATCTAAATAATTCTCATATTCACTATAGTTGTTTGGGTATATTCTAGTGTACATGTCGACCCCAACGGCTGCCAAAAATTCAATGTCTTCTTGACGAGTAGAGCTTTCATCTTCTTCGGTGCCATAAATTTTCCCGTACTCGACAACTTTCAATCCATTGGTGTTTACTATGTGCTCCTCAAGGAAAATTGAATTTTTATAAAATTCATGTTCGGTTGGAGTTAGACCTTTACGTAGTCTCTTGTTCATCTTCACAAACTTGCCACGCATCGCCTTCCAAGTTTTAGAAACATCTTGTTCTAAAAAAACAATTTAATTTTACAAAAATTTAATTTAAAAAAGGAAACAATAATGTTTAAGTATTACACACCTGAAACTTCCTCGCCATAAATTTCTTTGACGGTATCTATCACTCGACGGTGAAAGGAATTGTTGTTTGTTCCATGTTTAGTCCTTTTTTTGTTGAAAATGTAATCGTAGTTATCCAATTCTTTTGGATCATTAAGTAAATTAATTATGACGACGCTTATTTGTTGATTCATTTTTATTAACGAACAATATTTTTTACGTCACTGCAAATCGGGCTTAACTACTGCTGTGCTCAACGACTGCCGCAGAAAACGAATCTGTACCAACGATTCCTTTGTTTCAGCAGGTATCGAGGTGATCTCAAAACTCATAAAAGGCGCCTAGTACTTTCGGCTCTTGGGTTTTCCGAACACGTGACTTTAAAAATTGGTTTGGACTGGCTCAGATTTGTCAAGCGGCTTTAGTGGATTTCCTATCCGTTCAGTATCTCTGTAGACTTCACATAGTACGTTTGTTTACCCTACAACGTATGATCGTTACAAGTGTTTGTTCTTTTTTCAAAATGTCAGAATACATAGAGACGATTATATGTGGCATTTTTGCCAGGACATTTATGTACGATAAACGTGAAGATGATTATCTTGACCCTTTTATGAAAAAACAAGGATTTAAAGATATCGCTGATTACATTAATGATGTTAATGAATCTTGCAACAAAAATGCTGATTTGCTTACAGGTAAATAAATAACTTAACATTAAATCCATCATTATATATTTTAACATTGACTTCATTTTTTTTGAAATTATAGTCATAATATGCTCATCATTAATTCTGACTTTTGCTGTTCTTTTCTTTAAGGTGAAGATGTTCAAAAGATTTGGAATACCTTGTTGAAGGACTTTAAAGAAGCTTACAATGCCGAAAAGAAAACCAAATCTGGCGATGGTATAGTTGAAGTGACTTTTCCATACATGAAAGAACTGGCCTTTATGATCCCTCATATCGAACAAAAGCCTGTACAGTCATCTTTGAAAAAAAATTCTGTTCCCGACAACAATGGTAAAATCTCATAAAAAAATGTTTAAACGAGTCAATAACAATTTTCTCAAATGTATTATTTTTTCAGCCGGTACATCTCAAATGCCTAATGGGCAAACCAAGAAAAGGGCTCTCATGGCCCCAAAACCAGATTATTCGAATAAAAAACAAAAGATTAAAAATGAAGCAGTTGACCGAATTAATCAAAAGATGAGTAATCTTCTCGACACTATGCAAGAAAATTACTCAAAATCCGATGAGGTTGCTTCGACTTCTATGGGTATTTCAACCACTTCAAAAACTTCAATGCCATCTTCTGCCGATAAAGCTCTCGACTATACAGATGTACTTCTAGAAGCTTTTAAAGGGGTACCTCCAGGAAAAGAGCTTGATTGCTTAAAATATGTGCTGAAAGATATTACTAATTTTGAAGAGCAATTTAAAAACGCACAGAAGTGACCAAAAATAACAACAAAACCAGCATAACATATAATTATGTTTTAAGTGCTTTTAATATTCATTGCATAATTAACGTCATCACTGATCAAGTATTTTCTGTTCATTTTGAGAGAAATAAATGTTTATACTCAGTTATGTTATTTATTTATTATCTGTGATTTATATTTATTTATAATTTTCTCACAAACCACATGAGGTTTTTAGGTTTAGAAAAAAGTAAGAGAAGATTTAATCAAAATTATAGTTAGTGTGAATTGCTTCAAGACACTGTCATATTATATACCGTATCATGAATGTTGTCAAAATCAGGAAAAAATCTCAGTTAAATACATTTTTAACCTATACATGTTTGAAACATTGAAAAATTAAACTGAAAATAAAATATTACTCATCATTAGAAGCAGAACTATATCTCTACTAGAAAAAAGTGAAATTTTCAAGAAGTAATGAATTCTCAGTAATAAACTTGATCTAAAGTACAACAATTTCAAGAGTTTAATTGCTTTTTCAAAAAATAAATTACAGTACAGTATAGTTTTAATTTTTTAACCATTTTTATTCATTATAAACTCATGCACTTTTTAACTCACTTTCGCTACTAATCTCAATTAATTGTTTGACTTCTTAAACTTAGAGAAAGCTTCCAACATTGCAAGTAGTCTTATTCTTCTTACACGACCATTTTTGATTGATGTTAGAGATTTATTTAAAATAGTACAATAAAGCTTTCGTTTCTTGGCTGGATTTTCTTGACCATTTCTATTTTGTAAAGTTAATCTGAACTTTTTTAAATACATGTTCTTATCATGAACCTTCTGCGGAGGGCTAACGTGATCTTTCAGAAAGTAAAGCCTTTTGTACATCAAGTCTTCATAAGTCGACATACATGTATTCTTATTATTCAATTTTTTAAAATGAATTGTACCAAAAGTGTGGAGCATAAAATCCCATTTGGAGTTTAGTTCTTGAACTGTAAAGGAAATATATAATTAGAATTAAAATAAAATAAAAATGTATACAATAAAGTTCAAGACAGATTACTTACTTGAAATATTCACTTTCAATTGGCGAAAGAGATAATATTGGAGACTTGAATAAAACTCAAAAATTTTATTGGCATCCTTGTTATCAGGATGGGTTTTATCAAACATGTACGAATTTTTTGCATAAAAGCGTACCATCACGTCTTCCACGGTAACCATAGTTAATTATTGTAAATAATAAAATAAAAGTTAATTATTAATAACTAGAGCTGAGACCAAGATACGTGTTTGTCAGTTGCAGACAATTCAGGTTATCTGAATATAGCACTACAATACTGTTTTTTTTTTAGGTTGGCAACTGTGATCGCGCGACGCAGCGACCGATGATCGCGTTCTTATGTAGAGACGCCCTGAAACGTACAATGTAGCGTTGTGTATCTCTGCGTCTCTGTCT